CGCGTCAAGGGGAGTGCATCTGTGAGGTGATCATATGATTTCATTTCTAGCCAATGACATGAGCATCAAGTGTTATGCTGAACTTCCAGGGTTTCTCTTCTAACAGAGAGGGAGGGTGCCCTCCCTCTATTCTCATCCCTTTGTGCGGTTGGAGTGACGGTTGGAGTTCTGGCAGCTTCGTGAATGCTATTGACTGCAGATGGTGCAAAACTATAGGAGCCTGGAGCCCTGGCCATTATGGAACTCCCTGTCCAGGACACTGGGGGTTAGTCCATGCTAGAGAAACAAACATCCGGCTTACTAAAGCCACCATTATTGGTTTGTGTTATATATCATCAAACTTACTAGTCTGAGCAATGTGTGCTTAACATACATTGGAAAGGTAGATTTTTCTTTGAAAGAGGAAAACACACTCCCTCATTTGGAACTGTCTGGGGTGGGACTGTTAAGTCTGCACAATATGCCCTGCAGACCAGGTGAAGTGTGCAGTGGCCCGGTCACAAATTCTCTAAGCCCTTTAAGTAATCATTGCTGGTGGTTCATCTGAATGCTGTTATTTTCCAGTCAGCAAAACCCCATTTCCAATGCACTATAATTAGTAACAGACAAGTGTCCTGAGATGGCCCAAAGCTATTAAGGGAATTTCATTCTTCATTTTGGCCTCCACTGCAACCCTAGATGTAGGACAACTATTCCAGGAACCTGAAAACCCCCAGATGCCCACTTCTCATTAAAGACTTCCTGAGTGCGTAACACTCCAAGATCATCAGCATCTTATAAAAGCGAGTGGCCCCGCGGGAGGAAGGGAGTCCCTTCTGCCTTCCTGGCTTGTCCCCCAAGCCCACCCCACAGTCACGACGCCATGAGATCAAAGCCTACCGTTGCATCCGTGAGCTTCTCCCACTTAGGGGTGATGAAGTACCAGATCCCAGCGCCAGCTCCAGGTAGGGTGACTCCTCGGATGAGGAGGATTACCAGCACGACGTAGGGGAATGTGGCCGTGAAGTACACCACCTAGAAAAACCACCCAACAAGGAGATGGGGATGAGCAGACCTGAGAACGTGGCAGAGGGGCATCACCTCCCGGGCAAGTCCTGGCTGGTGACATCAGGGAGGTTGTCTCTACCTGGGCCGGGGGCACAGGGCAGGCTCTCAGACTTTGGATGGGTCAGGGGGAGGCAGAAATAGAGTCTCTGCGGTGACACATGGGGCTGTGGGATGGGTCAACCTGCAGTACGGACACTGGGGGCACTCCTACCCCCTCCTGAGGGCACAGCTCCCTGAGGATCCATTCATGCAGGCCCCTCCTTAGCTCCTCCCTCTGCTTGAGGCTCGGGACTCCGTCATTACAGATGAACCCCCAGCTTAGCCTTCCATCCCTATCTATAGACACTCCCAAGTAAGGCTGCCCGTGAGAGGAAAGCATGATCTTAGAATCTGGCACCTTTAGGTTCAAGTGAAATTGAATGGCTGACAGAGAGGCTGTGAGGCCCTGGGAGAGCCACTTAGCTTTGGGAGTCTCGGCTTCTACATCTTGTACACTGAGGATAATAGCACCTTCCCTAAAAAATAGTTATGTGAACTAAATGGGCTGAATCATGCGCAGCTCCTAGCATAGTGCCTGATTTATAACAGATGGTCATCGAGTGCAGTCAAGTCCACCAAACATTTACCCAGAGCCTACCGGGCGCTGTGCCAGGCTCCGACTGCATAAAGATGAAGAGGCTCATGACCTGCGAGACCCAGGGGCCATGTTTGAATAATAAGCTAAGCCACTGCACACAGGACTCCATGATGTCCAGGGAAGGGCACTGTGCCCGCACTAGGGAATTACGGGAGCTCCGTGGAGACGGCACAGGAGCTGGATCTTAGATGCCAGCCGTAGCTAAAGGAGGAAGAGGTGAAGGAATGTGGGCAAGGCAGGTGTGTGAGGGCACAGCTCTAATCACTAGCTAATCAGACGGCATAAAGTCAAAGCTGAGGGTGATGGGGGGGCAGGGAAAAGGGAGGAGAGTGCGTCACAGGAGCCTTGAATGCCAGGCAAACACGTGCCTAGATGCTGAACAAGAGGGAACAAGAGGGAACGATCCAAGTCAGGAAAGGTTTGGGAAGGAACATCAGCAGAATGTGGGGACTGTGTTGGTCAGGGATAGATCAGAGTACTTTCCTTCTGTATCTATCCATCATATGTTGGGGTGAAGGAAGTCTTAGGATTAGGATTTGTTAGCTGGGAGAAGAGCAGACAGTGAGCCCTCAGGCTCTGTAGTCCCACGACCCGAGCAACAAATCCTAGCTCCAATGTTCCTGAGCTGGGCCACCTTGGAAAATGGCGTAACCTCTCTGAGTCAGCGCCTGCACCTGCACAGCGGGGTGACACCAGTATTGTTCTGGCAGGGCTACTGGAAGAGAATAGCAGGACGAGGTGTGGAAAGTGATACAGGCATGAGGGTGTTGGGGACAGCAGCGCCACTTCAGGCTGGCCTAGGACATACGAATTCTAAATAGCGCAGCCAGGACAAGCCTCGGCTCACAAGACAGCTGCCTCCCAAAGACCCTGGGAAGGATGAGGCTAAGCTGTTGCTCTGACCCACCAAACCCCCTCTGATCCAGGGGTGAGTGATATCGAGCAGTCACTCCCACCGCCTACCTGCAGTCTGATTGTGGGCAGCTGAAACGCCTGCCCCCTGTGTGGGAGACAGATCTCCATCACACAAGGGCTCCACAGACTCTGGGCCTGGAAGAGGTTGGGGGTTCTGGTTGGCAATGCCTAGCAAGCAGGATTTCAGGAAATGCAGACTGATTTCGGGACTTGCAGGACGGGTTGGAGGTTAGGTTAAGCTGTAACTCTTGGCATCACTTCATTTGTTCAAATAACTACATACGATACAGACGTAAGTATACGTGTTTTTGGAGCATCTAATATGTTTCAGATGTAGCTGTAAGCCTTTGGGGGGCTGTCACTAACAAGACAAAGGCCGCTGTTCTCAAATAGCTTCCATTCTAGCTAAGGAGATAGACAACCAGTACTAACACAATAACATCACTTGTGGCATTGCAGTACACTGGTAAAAACTTAAACAAGAGCAGGATAAATAGAGGTTGGTGTCTGGGGGAGGGTGGCTAGCATGATGGCCTTATTCACATGGGTGGACAGGGCAAGCCTAGTGGAGGAGTTGGCCAGAATTTGAAAGAAGTGAAAGTGAGCCAGTGGCTATCTGGGAGAACATTCCAGAACAGAGGCTGGGGGAGCACATTTAGGACATCAGTGAGCTGGGGTGAGTAGTGGCAGATTAGACTAACCTTATGGGCCCTTTGTTTTATGAGAAGTACGGAGCTACTGCAGGGATCTGGGCAGAGGAGTAACATGATCTAATGTTGTAGCGGCACCAGTCACCACACTGGGAGCATGCTGCAGTGTGCAAAGCCAGAGCTGGTACCCTGCAGGGGTGTGCAGCTGGAAGCGAGGCCACTGCCATCTAGATTACGGTGGTGAGGGTGTGGTTGGAGGCCTGAGAGGAACTGGATGAATTCTGCAGAGGAAGCCAATAAAACCTCCCGAAAGAGTTAATGCAGACTGAGGGAGAGAAGTCCTGAAGATTTTGGCCTTAGCAGCTGAAAGGGTGGAGATGCCATCAGTGAAAGTGGGGCAGGCTGCAGGCTTAGGAAAGACAAAGTTATTCCTTTTTCTGAGCCCAAATATCCAGCAAGGTCAAATGTTCTCTTTCTGGGTACAGACTAGGGATGGCCTGGTCTCTTCTCTCTGTAGCTGCCACCCTGGCCAGCAGGTCTGTCCCCTGTCCCACAGGACAGCAGTCCCCCCTCCCTCTAGCCAGTGACTCGGAGGGATGAACAGCTGCTCCCTCCTGTTCCTGCCAGTCTGCTCCTCTCCTCCCCTTCAAGTCTGAAAGAATCAAGGTCCTAGCATACACAGACATCACAACACCCAAAGGCACCTACCTGCCATCTCAGGAGAAAAATCCCACCCAGGATGGCACAGGCTCTGCTTTCGGCTCTGCTCTCAACTGTCAGATTTTACATGGCAGGGCAATGCCCCAGCAGTCTGGCCTCTCCGCCTCACAAGACAGTAGGGCCAGGGTGTCGACTACAGAGTATCCTCTTACCCTCTAGTCAAGTGGGGCTGTTGGGAAAGGGGGGTAAAAAGCAGGAAGGGCGAGGAGAGGCCACAACAGCAGAGGAACACTGCAAGAGCGGCAGCCAGTTAACCCTCAGCCTACTGCCTCTGGTTGATTGCGGACACTGTCAGACACCACGGTTTCTGCAGCCCCCTCTAAGGATCGCTAGTGTTAATCCACTTTGCATAGCACGAAAATAGGGGCCCCAGTACAGCATGTCACTGGGGTGAACGTCTCAGTCAAGGTCTCCTTGCTTGAATCGTGACGCACATGCCACAGCTCGAACACCGAAGCCTATGTTCTTTCCATTGATGCCTCTGTAAGGCCCCAAGTGTGAGGCAGGGCTGAGACTAAGTTGAGGCGGGTACAAAATTCAAGGCGGCACTCACTCTCAGCAGCCAGCCCACACTGGCAGGCATCAGAGCGTGAGCGCTGCCTTCAGTTTTGCCTCACCAGGAGTTTGCCTCCCCCAGGACCCCACTGCCTGGGAGGTGCCTGGAAGATGCAGAAGATACGCTCACTTTGTAGACACTAAACCTAGTGAACCGAAGGCCCCGCCTGGTTTATGAACCTCTTGGATCTCCTAGTGAGGCAGATGGACATGGAGGCTTATGCACAGCTAAATTCTTGGTCGGGGGACTATGGAACACCCCAGTTTTGGGGTGCACAGGCAACGGAATTAAACTTGAAGAGTAATGAATTACCCTTGGCAGGATCCACAATCATTAGATGAGCTGTGCCTGCGGGCCTGACACCCGCAGCCTCCTCCTCGGAATGGGAGTCCCAACCAGGTGGCAGGTGGCGAGGGAAGGCCCACAGCCGAAGAGGGCTCCTTAGGCTAACTCTGTGCTGTAGCCATCGCTCTCTGGCAGAGGAGACGCTGAGGCGAGTGGGGCTGTATTTGATTCTGGGGCTGTCTGCTGGTCACCCTGCCTTGCAACTCTAGCTGCTTAAAGGGAGACTAAAATCTTTTTTTTTTTTTAAGATTTATTTATTGTACATACAGAACTGGGGTACAGACCAGAGGCTCAGGGGCGGCGAGAGGCTTCACCAGAAACAAAGAGTGGGGAGCAGAACAGGCAGATCTATGAAGTACACTGCTGAGGGGAGCAGCGGGCGGGTCAGGAGAGGTCTGCCACGCCATGTGGTCACCTCCGGGGCAGGCGGGAATCGAACTCATGTGGAAGTGTCTTTAGCTTCTCAATGCTGTGCTTTAACCCGCTGCGCCACCAGGGAGGGCCAGGGAGACTAAAATCTTATAGGAAGCAATTGGCCATTCTTGTCTCCCAGGACCCTCAACAAGAGGAGCTGAGCTTTTCTTGTTTCAGGAGAAGGGGGATATTTCTGTTGCTTAGCAATGACAATGTTCAGGGAATTTCAGTCACCAAGGAGCCTCACATGCACCTTGGCTTCCAAACAATGCTTCGTGATTAATGTCTGCACACCTCAGGTGCAGGATCATACATTATGATTCATTATTTCTGATGGTATTCCTCATTTTTAGAAAAATTGATCATTGATTTCTAGTTGGGATGCTTTCTCACTGAAGCAGAAAGGTAAGTTAGCAGAGCTGAAAAGAAAGCTTATGTGCTCAGGGCTGCTCCAAAATTCCCACTGCAGAAAGCCCATGGAATTTAGCACCAAGTATTAAATTCTACATCCACAGCCCAAGCTCACTTTAACACCATCCTACAAAAATCACAGGGAGTTCAGACAGTATTTATTTTAACCCTCAATTTTGTAGCTATGCAAAGGAAGGGCCCAGATGCCCTTTCTGCAACCTACCCAACTGGCAGTGGCAGCTAATGAAGGCAGAGATGGGAAGGAATGAGATTCAGTGGGTAGTGGAGGGTGAGGGGGGTGGGTCTGGGCAGGGAGGCAAATGATGCTGCCACAATTTTGCATTTCTCACCTACTCCTAACAGATGAGAAAGCTGAGGGTCCAGTGGTTAACTAACTTGTCCAGAGTTACACCATGAGAGATTGATAACGAAAGGATTTGAAGTCAAATTAGCCTGCTTCTAGAGCCCCCAGTTTATCCTTCCTCATGCCACCAACAAGGCCTCTGGTCTCATCCTCCTCACCAGTGGTCTGTACTCTGGCAATCACTAGCCTTTTCTAATAGAGGCCTACCTGGACACTTAGATCATAGTGAAGGTTACCCTGTTTCTAGCTTTACCTCTAGGAGTAAGTGATGGACCAGCCAGTGTGATTTTGCTTGAGCAAATACTTAACTACCCTTACTGAGCAATTTCTGGTCGGACCTATTACTCCCACCCAAGCCATTTCCAAGTCACAGAGGCAGGCTGAAGAAACCTCAAGTCACAGAGTGTTGCTTAAGAGTCACATTAACATCCCCCCATCTTTCTACAGCCTAAGAAAAGCAATCGATCCAATCTCATAATATTCATTCAGAGTCAGTAGGACTTCAGAGGTCACCTGACCCCAGCTCTAACTTTGTAGAAGGGAAAATTGAAGTCAGAAAGGAAATGTGAAGCCAACCTCACCTCCCAGCTCCCAAGCTCATTTCAGACAGAATGTTAGAGGGTCTTAGACATTGCCAGGTGCAATTGTCTTCACTGAACATTTCTGAAATAGCTAAAATAAGGTAAATTTGCTTTTCACTTATTGCCAAAAAAAAGAACAAATAAAAACTAGGAGAAAATCAGTAGGCAGGTCATGTTTCATGGCCCAAGTAGAGATGTCCCTACACAGCGAACACCATGAGAAGTCCTGGAGGACTGGAAAAGGCTCTCTCACCTCCCACCTGTGTGGGTTCTCACCCCACCTTAAATGATGTAAGGGGCTCTACCTGCCTCAGGTTGTCCTGACAAACCTGCCTGAGTTCCCCATTCAAGTCCCTATGGTGCCAGATTAGATGGGGTGGGCGGGGCACCCCTGAGGTTGTCCATGTGCCCAGGGAGGAACAGATTGGTCTCTGTGGCTAATGGGTCCTGGAGTTGGGTGAAGGGTGTGGGCATACCAGGGAGGCGAACATCCCTGTGCCCCAGAACCTTCAAACGTTGATTATATGTAACCAGAGTTGATTATATTTACCACTCATCCAAAGTTGGGTCAAATTCAACTCCCAACTCCACCACCTCTAGACCAAGACTTGGGCCTTAAAGCCATTTTGAGTTCCTTCCTAACATATGAAATGACCCTTAGGATGACTGAATATTATCAGTTATTATCAAAGTGACTGGTTATGTTTTTAGCGGCTTTTTGTAAAGCATGTGGAAGATCGAGGGAAGCCCTGAGACCCTTGCCAGTCCTGGTATGCTCTACAGCCTCCTGGACTCCTTACCTCCATGGCATCCATGTGAGTTCCTCCCCTCCAAAGGACCAGCCAAATGCTCTCTTAGCAAATAGCCAAGTCTTTGTTTGCTCAACCAAAACTGCGTTGGCAGGACTGTCATCCTTTAGTACTGGGAGATTGTGGGGTGGAAAAGTGTGGCACTCGACTTTGCAGGAAGAGCATGAAAGCCTGAGAACATAGGGGTTAGGAACATGTCTATTTCCAGCCGCTAGGGGGCAGCAATAACTGTCGCATCAACCAGACTAATAAGCAAAAAGTCAGCAGCACTAATGCTAGAGTGGAGAGGCTGAGTCCTCTGAGGAAGGTCCCACCTGCAGAATTAAATGGCAGTCCCTGTCAGGAAAGGAGGGACACTAATTTCAGTGTTGCAGTGCCCCCACCACCCATCAGGAGCTCTGCACATACTGTCTCATCTACTCCTCAAAACAGTCCTGAAAGAAAAGCATTATTATCCCATTTTACAGACAGGAGTCTTGGCCAGGACCCCAGCTCTCAGGTCCAGCATAAGGACCCCGCCCACACCCCTGGCCTCACTTTCCACTGCGCTTCTGCCTGCTCTAGGACACAGCCAACCTTGAATGTCCCTGGGCTTTCTGGTGGACAAATATAAGTTCTTACTTTTCCTGAAGACTTGATTCCTTTTGCCAGGGATGCATACACAATTACCCACGCCAGAAAGAGGCAGAAGGCCAGTGGCCACCTGATTTCCCCTGGATACTCAATCCCTGCAGAAATCTTCAGCACGAAGTACCTAAGAGTTGGGAAGAAAAAGGAGAGAGGTGACAGTCTGTAGGTGTTAATCTCCCAGCAGCAGGGCCGTCTGCACCAGGGTTTTCGAACAAACCCAAACCTCACACCCCCCCCCACACACACACACACACTGTCTCCATCAGGACCTGATCAGAGCAGGTAGTGAGAGATTTGCTGACCAGGGATCCCACCCACTGCAGTCTAGACTTACCCTGCTCTTCATTATGCCCCCAGCTGGCTCTGTCCAAGAATGTCAGCCCCACCATCACCTGGAAATGCCCCAGTACAAGTGCAATAAATTCAATGGCACAGAGGGGTCTGGGACAGTCCCCCCACCAGCATTACCAAGGATGATGTCTTTACATAAAGTCACATTACTCACAGAAACTGTCAAGAAGGGTTTTGGTATGTTTTGTGTATTTTTCTTCTCTAGTATTAATGCTTTTGCAATAGCATTTGGATAATTTCAAATTAAGAAAAATCAGTACAACATGTTTCCACTAACTGACTGAAAATGCTGGTCTGTTTTAGTGTAAGTGGTGTTGGATGTGTTCCACAGCTTAGGCTGGCTGAAATGTCCAGGCAGGGCTGGGTGGGTCTTATTCAAAGAAAAAATTCAGAGTGAACAGCTGCACACAGAGGAGCTACTAGTCATCTGTATGTGCTGAAGTAGGCAGGGCCTGTCTGGTGATCCCCATGTCCCTGGCAAGCAGCTGGTAGCCTGACAGGGGGCAGGCAGCCTCTGCCTGGGACAGAAGGCGGCTGCACAGACAATGAGTCCCGATAACAGACTAGGACAATCCTTTCAGTTCTGCAACAATCTAGCCAGGCAGCCAGGATGAAAGTGCTGTGTTTGCAGCTTGGTTTTTTCCCCCCCTGTGACTTGAACAAAGAGCCAGACAGAATCCAGACTCTCAAGACTAGAAATGAGGGACCAGGAAGGACCCTCCCTGGCGGTGCAATGGGTTAAAACCCAGCACTATAAAGCTAGCCATAGCCCTTTCAGCTCAAGTTCGATTCCCAGCCAGAGAAGTAACCCACATGGTGCTACAGACTTCTCCTGTGTTGCCCTCCGTTCCCCTCAGCAGTGTACTTTATCAATCTGCCTGATCTGCTCCCCACTTTGCCTCTGGAGAATCCTCACACTGCCCCTGCAACTCTGGCCTATACCCCAGTTCTGTATGCTTAAATAAATTAATCTTAAAAAAAAAGAAAGAAATGAGGGAGCAGAATGTTTTGACTGGCAGGAAAAGGATGAAGCATTGCTCCTAGGCTAGCCAGCAATGTTATCCTCTGGCCAGTTGGTGAATGAATGCTTCCTGGGCAGTTTTACAGGCAACAGTCACACTTTCCAGAATAATGATGGCAACCCCTGTGATGACAAAGCCTCTCTCAGTCTCTGGAGTCATCTAACCTCAAGACTGGAGTAGAGGTGAATAAAGATAGAACTGAAATGGGCTCACAAATCTTAGAGACCATATTCCCCAAGAAATAAAAAGGACCCTTCTCATAAAAAGTCCGCCTCAAAATGAGTAGATGATTTAGTCAACACCTCAACTGTCTCGCTTTAATAAAGGATAAGGGGTGGACCCCAAGAAGATCCTAATAACCTCTCCTTTTACAAACTAAGATGAGTCCCTCCCCACCACCCTCCAGAGAAGTAGTAAAGACCACCAAAAGCAGATTTGCAGATCATTTTATATTAGACCTGAGCAGTCTGGATTAGGTGCTCTGATTTGCTCTGGTCAGACTCAGTTTATCTCAGTGAACCAAAGCCCATCCTCACGGCACCCATGATATCTTTAGAAGGGGTTATGTCCTCATTCAGCCTAACTTCTTCTATCCTGCAGAGCACAACCATGAACTTCTGAGCCCCTACAGGTGAGGAAATCTAGACTAGCAATTAATTGCAAGTGGGATATTGAATGGGGGGATGACCAGTCCTTATCACTGCATTAAGGGTGCTAAACCAGGGAGTCCTGGATAGATGCATTTTATTTGGCCCCAGAGTTTTATTTAAATTTTGTCTGCTGAACTTAAAATGGGGGTAGATCCATAAAAATCTAAATTTTATTCTTAACTTCTCTTATAAAATGGAAGAGTGGCCCACATTCCCACTGGGCCAGGACCAATGACTAACAGAGCAGTACCCCCTTCTAGTGTGACCCAACTCCTACCACTCTCTAATGTGCTACTCAGCCTTCACTCATTTGCCTGGCAAACAGGTAAACCTCTGCTGAGTGCCTGAGCACACTGAGTTTACAACCTTTGACTGAAGGCTTAACTAGAGAGCATCTTTAGTTCATTCTTGTTGAACTAACATTTACTTCCTTACGAAATGGGCCCATGAACATTATCGAATCTTCCTATGGTGGCTGGGGATTTTCTGATACCCCTGCACTTCACCCCTCAATGTGCAGCAACATAGGTGTAGTTAGTATAGAAATAAGGTGAAGCTGTTTTTCTTGAAGTGAATTTGGTTTTAAATTGAATCAGACTTTTAGCAAGCGAATGTCTAGTGATTACTAATTCCTAATGTTTTTTCCACCATGTATTGCTCACATAATTAGAAGGAAAAGTTATGTAAGTGTGTCGGTTCATTGTACTACTTGGCTGAATTTCCATATAGTTTTTACTGTGTATAGGGAGGTTGTAGTATTTATTCTAGCATTTTAAATAAGGGTAATTCATTTTTTATTAAAGTCATTTTCACATTAAGTTCCTATTTTTGGATGTTCTACTCTTGTTAAATAACACAGTTCCTTTTTTAAAAGAGTGCATTTGTTGAAGTGCTAGTGGAAAATTAGTTATTAAATAGTTTGCAAATGGCTATATTAATATGCCTATAATTTTTAAATACTTGTAATGTAAGATGTTGAATGAATAAAACTTTTAGCTAAAAAAAAAAAAATAAGCCAAAACAGGGTGAAAAAATCCCCTCCCTGATGACTCGAGTAGATAGGGAGGGTGCAGAGGGAGGTGACCCATCCCTCAAGACACCCCTTTTCCAGTCTCCAAGTTAGGGTGTTCCCCAATTCACTGAATTTGTCTTAGAAAGTAAAAAGTGCACACAAAAGTGACCTTACTTGAAATACTCTTCACTTCCGCTGACAAATGTCTTATTAGCCTGGCTGGTGAAGTTAACCATTGTCAAGTTGGGATAGGCAGTCATGCAGAAAGTTGAGTTCTTAATCTGTATTTTGGGATGGTCACCAATGACACAGGAATCTGTTTAGGGAGGAAGAATAGAAACAATGAAATCTGTACAGAAAACATACTCTCTCTCTCTCTTTTTTTTTTTTTAAAGATTTATTTATTTGTGCATACAGAACTGGGGTACAGGCCAGAGTTGCAGGGGCAGTGAGAGGATTCACCAGAGACAGAATGGGGAGCAGAACAGGCAGATTGACAAAGTACACTGCTGAGGGGAGCATCGGGCGGGCCAGGAGAGGTCTGCCACGCCATGTGGTCACCTCCGGGGCAGGCAGGAATCCAACTCATGCGGAAGCGGCTTTAGGTTCTCAGTGCTGTGCTTTAATCCGCTGCGCCACCAGGGAGGGTGAAAACATACTCTCTTGCCATTTAAAAATAAACACCAGTAGGGCCCTCCCTGGTGGTGCAGCGGATCAAAGCGCAGCACTAAGAAGATAAAACCACTTGAGCATGAGTTCAATCCCCAGTCTGGAGGTGACACACATGGCATGGCAGACCTCTCCTGACACACCCGCTGCTCCCCTCAGCAGTGTACTTGTCAGTTGGCCTGTTCTGCTCCCCACTCTGTCTCTGGTGAATCCTCTCACCGCCCTTGTACCTCTGGCCTGTACCCAGTTCTGTAGAAATAAAATCTTTAAAAAATAAATTAAAAAAAAGCAAACCCTAATAATATTTGCCAAATATTGTCAAGCAAGGTTTGAAAATTATTAATTGAGCAAAGTTAAATGTAGATAAACCTCAGAATTGTACTTTATCTTTCACGGATTCCCTAGTCCCCACAGAAGTGCATGGCACCGATAGCAAAAGCTCTCATTTCTGGAACATTCCCTTTGTGGCTATGCTGTGCTAAATACTTTGCAAGCATTATCTCCTTTAATGCTCACAAAAGCTTATGTTATAGCTGACTACAACCCTATTTTCAAAATAAGGAGAGAGACTCAGTAGTTAAGTAACTACCCAAATCACCAGCTAATGAGGAGGTAATTCAGAATTCAAATCCAGACCCTATGGATCCCCAGGAAACAAATGACTGCCACAAATGAACTTAATGAGACATAAGCATACCTCCTGAAGGACTACTGCAAAGAAGTCTAACTGATAAACGTGCCATGAGCACGCTGTCTGGATCGTGACTGAGACATGTTCCGTGCTAGGACAGGTGAGCTCACATATTCCACACACTCATGTTGAGCCACGCAATGTGCTGTGTGCCTGGCACAGGACCCAGCATGTTGGTTCTGAACCAAGGACAGACTTGCTCCCCAGGGGACAAATGGCAATATCTAGAGGCATTTCTAGTCGTCAGCTCTGGGGGTGCTACTGGCATCAAGTGGGCAAGGGCCAAGAATGTTGCTAAATATACTACAGTGCCCACAACAGCCCCCAACAAGAAAAAAATTAACCAATCCAAAGGTCAATTGTGCCAAGGTAAAGAAAGCCTAACCTAGACTGGGATGCAGAGAAAAAATCAATCATGTGAATCTTAGTATGTCAAGCGTTATGCCAGACAATTATTATCTCATGAAATCCTCATAAGACGTGGAATCTGCATGTATTACTATCATCATTTTAAACAGGCAAAAGCTGAAGTCCTTCTGATCTTATTACAATGCCTCACTAACGCTTTACAAATACTGATTACATGTTTATAAATATTGATCTCTTGACCAATAGTGTAAATAAAGACTAATCTCAACAGCAAAGGATAATATTTTGTAAAGTAAAATAATACACTATATGATATTACCATGTATGGCTTTAAGTGCTTCACATGCAGTAACTAATTTAAGCCTCACATCGCTCCTGTGAGGCAAACGGTATCATTGTCTCTGTTACAGATAAAGAAAACAAAGCACGGAGAGGTGCATTCGCTTGCCGCGATCACACAGCAGAAGCAGGAGGTGATTAGGCCCCTGTCATTGCAGGTCACGCTCTTTACGACCCTAATGTGAAGCAGAGAGCAGGGATCGTAAATTCAAAAAGCTCCGGAAACCAAGCTGATGACACAAATGAGGAAAGTGTAACAGGGTGGTAATAAGAAGTGGTGGCGATTGTGGCAAAATCGAATAGAGCTCCCGTCGGTGTCACACTGATCCAGGTGTTATGGCGAAAGAGGAAGAGAATCTGGGTATCTGCGTGGTTTTTCTTTCAATGTTAGAAGTAGATCAGATTATTGTTAAATACCAGGCCCCTAACCCAACCAAGTGGCGTGCCATCTGGATATGGTGGTGCACTGCCCTCCACGGACAGGACCATGGTGCCCTCCACGGACAGGACCATGGTGCCCTCCACGGACAGGACCATGGTGCCCTCCACGGACAGGACCATGGTGCCCTCCATGGACAGGACTATGGTCTTAGGAACTGCCCTAGCCCTGGGAATTAGATGAATTCCTTTATCTGGCCAAGCCGCCAATTTCGGATTACACTTCTATATATTGTATACTTATAAATCATTCTAAACGAGTTCACAAAATTGTTGTAAGAACCAAATCAGGCAAGATCCTGCATTGCCAGTACATCGTGGTCTCAACCAAGTTCAGCCATAACCAGTGCACTTGTTATACCTTTTTATGGGGTGTGGGGGCTTTGTTATATGTTTTCTAAATTCTACCTCTTTATCCACTTCCACATCATCCTCCACCCATCCCACGCATTGCCTCCCACACAGCCCTCAAACCAACAGACAAAAATGAAACAGATAAAACAATCCCTTCCTTCAGACTAGTGCTTTCCATCAGGGCTTTCCAATAACAGGGCTGCTACTTTTTGGACCAGAAAATTCTCTGTTGTGTGCAGCTGTCTTGCACATTGCAGAATGCTTAGCCACCTCCCTGGTGCCTGCTCTAGATGTCAAGCGCATCCACCCCAGAGGCGACACCCACAAACACCTATTAACCTTACCAAAGGTTCTGCAGTCTCCCAGGTGGAGAACTGCCGCTTCTTTAATGAAATAACAGCGAGTTTCAAAGGGATTCCGTCCTATGAACTGTCAAATATTGACTGAGGAAGCCTTAGATGCCCCCAGCAGCCTGAACGAAAATTAAGGCACCTTCCACACGCATGCCTTTCCTGTAAGTAAGCACAGAAGTTCTCAGCCTCCTGCCCCAAAATTACGTCCATGCCCTAAGACTGAAAAGACTGTCAACCCGCGGGCAAGCACCAAATAGCTCTGCCTTGACGAAGCACGCGCGCTGCTTCCCTAGAGAGTGTCTGACGTCCCCAGCCCGGAGCCCCGCAGTACAAGGTCGTGCCTTTTCTGCTGCAGTGCAGCAGAGCGTCTTGCAGCCTCGGCTCTCCTGCAATCTCCCTTCCGACCACTGGGTGGCAGAAACGCGCTTCCCCGTCCGGTTGGCCAGCTGGATGCTGTCGGGCCGGCTAATCAGAGCTCCGCGGCCCAGCAACTCTGAACAAAGAACAGCGATAATGATGCTGCTAAATTGGAAACCGTTGGAATGGGATTCTCTTTACTCTGGCAATTATTAATAAATGAAAGTCCATGAAAGACTGGAGAGACAAGGAATCATTTAATTAAAGTTCTAATGAAAATCAAGCCATTCCAGAAATAGAAATGGTATTTATGTTGTTGCCATTTTAAATGACCCAGCCAGCTCCTAATTTCACAAAATAGTCTCTGGTCTCACTTGGCAGGACATGGATTAGCCGTTTTCCATTACAGATATCTGGAAGGTTGGGCTCCCCTCAAGGAGACAGTTTCTCTTACGATCTACCTTAAACATGGCCAGCAAAGTCAGCCCCTACCCATGGACAGAGTGAAGGTTTTTGGTCAGGCCTGGAGCAGTATGTGTCTCTGGTCCCTGGGGCAAGGGTCTCTGGGAGTATGCCTCTAACAGTGCTGGGAAGGAACATGGGCCAGACACCCCTGCCATGACTGCAGCTCATCATTTTCTCTGTCTGGCCCATCTGTCTTGGGATCAGTGCCCTGTGGTCACAGGGTAGGGTGGTTGTGCGCTTGTGAGGGAGAAGGGGATCCTGCAAGGCTGTTTGTAGAACATCGCGCTAGATAGATGGAGCTTCTCCTTTCCCTAAGCAAGCCTCTCTCCAGCGACCATTTCGGGGAGACACTGGGACCTCTGGGTGTCTGCACTGCCAGCTGGTTGGGTAGAGCAGCAGGATACCAAGTCTCTGCTTCATCACCTTTTCTCAGTCACCCCAGCCCCCCACCCCCCAAAGGACCAGTGCTTCCACAGGAGATAATCTGGCCTTGGTAACAGAACACACTCACGTGCAGATAATGTGGAGAGGACAGATGGGAAGACAAAGGAAAGGTGGGACCTGACACCTCACTTTTTAACAAACAAAAAAATCTAAAGTGCTGGCTAAGGACATTAGGTTTCCCAGCCTGTGCACATGCTACCAGGGAATAATCAGAGTGAAAAATATCCATTGTCTCTCTCTGCTCAAAGCTTGCAGTTTTCCAGGTTTGTGCAGGCTGACTAGGAGCTTAGCTGTGTAGCGCCTTTGTCGTCCATGTTTTCTGGCCACTGAGAATCAGTGGAAATGCCACCAGACCAGAGGTGTCTCCAGTGAGTTGCCTGCTGCTGTCAAAGTGTTCAGTTGCTTAAAACATATGTACATGTATGTACACATATGCATATATACTGACCCCAATGTGTGTCCACTATAGAAAAAATAGAAAAGAATGGCCCCAAATCTGCTGGTTAACAGTTTGTGGACCTTCCTGTGTTTTTCTATCTATGCACTATTATCAGAAAAATATATATGTGTAGAGAGAGATACATACTATGTAACTGTATAAGGCTTCTGGACCTAACATCAGATGGGGAAAAACTTCTCTTTGTTTCATAAATATTCATTTTTAATTAACTCATTCCTTTTTCATGATGTGTTGTAACTTACCTGAACCAATGATTATTCATTAATTTAAATTTTTGTTACAAATTTAAGTGCTTCTAGTGTTTTCCAACCCTGTAAATGTGACTGACACGAACAATCATATATAGTTCTTCTCTGTATCTCTGACTCCCTCTCCCCTACCTCCCTTCATTGCCAGAAGTAGAATTCTAAGTCAAACTCCAGTTCAGACAAGCTTTCTTTCTAGCCCATAGAATCTCAGCTACAAACTTGTTCCAGGGAACATCTAGACTAATGTCACTTTGTTGGGACTGGTGTTATAGAGCCTGCTAGAGCAAAGATTCCTCATGTACCGTGAAAAAGTGAGAACCCACATCTGAGAGCTGGTTTGACTTGCCACTTACAGACTGACCTTTCTATTCTGAGCTGACAGTCTACTCTGTAACCTGCAAAAAATGTGATCATGTCACCTACTTTTTGGAACTCATATGATTCTTATTAGGAACAGCCGAGCCATCATTTATGAAGCTGCTTTGTAGGTTAGGAAACATTTAATATGATTAGTGCTGTGGCAGGGGGAGGGGTGTAGGGGGTAGTCAAACTTGGGTTTAAATCCTGGGTTTATCCATAGCCATCTCTATGAACTTGAGCTCCAGCTTTCACCTGTAAAATGGACATAATAATAGAACCCATATGTACCTGGCTTCTACATTTAACATGATATGGCACTCATTTCCCCATGTTGATTTGTTGTCCATCTTAATTAACATGGGTAATATGAGTAAAACAAATGCTTACTGCGAATTAACTGACACTTGTTATGAAGTGTCCAGGCACTGCAAATCTTAGAGGATACTGTTAATAGAGAATGGGGCCTCTAGCCACCATCCCTCCTGCAGCCTGCTGATCTAGAGGTCCCTGAGGGAAGTCCCAGGGTTTCACGTTTCCTATGGAGCCTGAATCAAGGCAATATTCCTCTTCCCACAGATACTCCCCAGCAAAGTGACTTCCCTCCCAGGCATAGTCTGGAAATGACAAGCAAGACTCTAAAGATGGCCTTGAGGGATTTATCCATTCCACACTCCTTGTTCTAGAAAGTACACTCTGACTCACATGGCTACCATTTTGGGACACCTTCCTGGCTCTACTAGTTGGCGGTGAACATGTAAACAACTTGCATGTGGGATTCTCTCAGCAGTAGACAGTGACCCCAAGCTGGCTGGGATAGTTGGGCAAAGACAGTGGGATACTCCATTCCAAAGTGGTTAAGGGCACCCTAATTTAGGGATGTGGGCAAACCCAACCTAGTGTCTCCTATCCTTAATGCACGTGAGAACTTTAGAAATACAGATTCTAAGACTCCATCACCAACAGTTTGATTTAACTGATCTGGGAGACCCCTAATTAACGTTTTGGCTTCGTATTCTTCAGGTAATCCATCAACATAGAGACTGTAGAGTCAAGGACAGCAAGGCACAGAGAGTCTAAGGCACACTTATTCTTGGTCACACTGAGCCTCACAGCTAGGAACCCCCACAAGTTCCCATGCCACAATCCAAAACAATTCTAGGTGCACAGGGTCTGAAATGAATGGATATGTAATTCTCCAGTTTTATCCAAAGCCTCTGTAGATGGAGGCTGGTTGGGGAATGTGTGTACTTGTCAGGTGTGTAAAAATACTGCCATGTGAACAAGTGTCTCTAGGTATAAACTTCTTTCTGGGGGTGTGGGAATGGAGATTTCATATTTCTCTCCTAACATACTCAAAGGATTAAATAATGGCCTCATTCAGCAGCATGCAGACTATCAGAATAAATGAAGGCTTGGGGGCCAATGCATAGAGATCACAAGATTCTGACCTCAGCACAGACCCATCTAAGAGGAATAGCAGACCTTCCAGAAAAGAAGGAACTACTTGCTTATTGGTGCCCATTAGAATGATCGGAACCTTCAAAGGTGACTAGTACTAGTCCTGGTGCCTTCTATTTGCAGAGTTTTCTACTTTTCTGTTATCATGTCCTTTGGTTCTCCTCCCAGTAATCCTATGAGACAGGTAAGATGAAGGATGTTGTTATTATTTTTATGTTTCAATGAGGGGAACGGAGAGCCAGAGAGAAGGAGCTGCCTGATCAAGGCACACAGACAGCAGCAGAGATTTCTTACAGACCAGGAAGCTTTATGTCACATCTGCTCTAATCCTCACAGTCACTTTCTTGCCCTTGACCCAACAAGCAGGTAGCTTCCTCCAAATTTTCAAGTCATTATGGATTCCAGAGCTGTCTTGAAATGGTCAGCCTCCGGCAACACTGCCTGATGCCCCAGGAGACCCCTCCCCTGACCCCTGCACCATGCACATTTCTATCATGTCTTCAGGCATCATGAGTGTTCTCATACTGATTCATGTACTCAGCAGTATGTTACGAGATGCAGACCCAAGATCACTGTATCGTTCTCCCAGAACCTAGAACTTCACCATATTTCAAACTGTACCATGCCTAGGAGACACCTGGAGACCTTGCTTAAAGGTCTATATCCCCAGCGCACCTAAGCCTTATAATTCAGACAATTGGTGAGCACATGAATCTGCATTGTAAACAAACACTCTAGCTGTTCATGAGCAAAAACAACAATTTTTTTATTACCCTTACTCTGGGTCATGAGCTCCTTAAATGTCATAATTAAGGCTAGCTGGCATTTTTAAAAACCACTGTGCCCCGCACCTAGAGTTGGGTCTGGCAAACATAGTATGTGTTCAGTTAATCGTCACTGAGTGAATGAATGAAGCCTTCCAAACACACACATACCCCTAAAATAGGTGTCAAACTTACCTAATAAAAGTTTGGTTTTGTCTTTGCATTCTGGTGTGTTCCAAGGGTTGTTGCAAGAACCCCAGGGAAGCACAGACACAAAGGAGGCAAATAGGTAGAAAAGTGTGTAGCAAATAATCACATTGTAGTATATGGCTATCAGGACAGAAATGATCAGCATTGCGATGCCACAGCCTGTGGAAGCAAAAACACCAGGCTTTCATTCCATCCCAAATCCATTGGGTTTCTTAGGGTGGGGCGCAGGGTGGGGACCTAGATCTTGGGTCTTTATTACAGATGGATAAACTTAGAGTGGGATGGGCTCTGTATGTAGCAGGAAGATTGAGGCCTGCTGTCAGGGAGGGAACAATGCCAGAGGAGAACATGGGCTAATCTTCAGAGGGCCACAGAGGTGGAATTGATCAAAAAAGGAGAAAGAGGAAATGTATTCTACTGATCACAAAACAGGCCTCTCTCCCTGGAGCCTTGAGGAGGTTGGGAGGCTGGGTGGACTCACCTTGTAGGGCCGGGATGGCCTTCCACACGGACACTGGCCCCTGGCTGGCAAACTGGCCAAGCGATACTTCTAGGAAGAATATGGGCAACCCAGCCAGAGCCAGCATCATCAGGTAGGGGATGAGGAAAGCACCTTGGGAAGAGAGAGCGGGAGGTGAGAGTCCAGGAGACCAAGGCAGAGCTTGGCCCATCGTCACCCTCTGGGCTGGGAGCTGCCTCCCTCTCCTTTTCTGGGAAGCTTCTAATATACATGCTCAATAGCAGGCATACTCAAAAGGGCCCTTCTAAGTGCAAAGGTACCCCAAAACACCCTCCTATCCTCAGTTCCCCACTGGAGAGTTCATAAGCTGGTAGGATTTATTCTTTTCTCTTATTATATTATTCAGTGCCTCCAAATTAATTCTTCTGGCATTCAACACGTTCACACCTTGACTGGCCTCAGGAGTCAGAACTGGTGAACTCTTATTGGCACTTCTGCCCTCCTATAACATGAGCAAAGTTAGACTCCAGGCATCTTCCTCTATAATAACTTGAGTTACCTGTATACCTTCTGCCAACCAAGCTGGGCAGCTCTGCCCTATCCTTGCCCCACCACTGCAGTCATCATGACTTTCAATCTCCTCCACACTGAAGTTCCTTCCATTCCCCCAGGTCAATACAAATGCTTCCTCCTCCAAGAAGTCTCCCCTGTATCCTCCCTCACAACCTACCCCAACACTTGACAATATTGAAGTGGATGTCTTATCTCTTCTAGATGTGAAGCCCTGGCATTGAGCATTCATCTCTCTATTCCCCAGAATGCCAGCCTAGAGCCACTGTAGCTGCTAGGACTTGCAGACTTGCTGAAGACTGTTTGTGGTATTTGGGAGGAGCATGGGAAATTAGCTCTAGACTTTGTAAAGGTTTGGACCAGGAAGCCCGTTGCCTGTGTCAGAGTCAAATCAGGAACTGGAGATACAGGAGCCCTATTCTGGGGATACAGGAGCCCACTATTCTGTGGGCTGGAAAGAAGGAAAGAGGATCTTTCTCTAGTTTAGTCTTTTTGTTCGTCTTTGTCCCAACTTCTTGTCCTGCCAAGGAGTCTCCAAACAAGACACTTCTGTAGAGTGAAACAGAGGTCCAGCTTTGTCCTCTCCTGACAGAGTTTTAGAGAAAAAAATAGAGATTGTGCGATCCTTCCCTCTGCTTCCGGGAAAGGAGATTCAAGTTCTCTACCCAGTGCTGGGTTTTGCAGGGGCCCTCCAGAGCCTGAGGAGCGAACTGGAGCCCAGCCGCAGTGTGGAAATGGCTGTCTGCCCCTCCCTGTTCAGGCCTCAGGGTGGAGGCCAGGCTGTGGCTGCTTGTGCAGAGCACTGCGCTTTGCTGGATCCCAAGCAAGCAAATTGCTGACACTTTCATGGGGAGGCTCCCCTAGATGGGAACTTCCTCCCCAACCTAGCTGGGATGCCCACCCCCTTCCAGCCACTGGAGTGGAACATCTCCTCCCACTTTCTGCACTTGGTAGGGACTCCTGGGGTGGGGGAACCCAGCAGAAACCAGGGGTGTGGGGGGGGTGCAGGAGGGAAGGTGTGACTGCATTTGTGTGGACATTCTCCTGTTTCCATGGCACCTTGATTGCTAAATGTCTTCATTCCTCATAAGTACTGATGTATTCTCATTGGGAGTCACAAAACTTTTCACTAGTCTACCCCATGCACCAACTCCCTCTTACAGATTAGGAGAGGGGACAGGAGGAAAACAAAACAAAACAAGTTGAACCCAAAGGGGTGAGGGATGAATTTCTGATCTCTTCAATTCAGCTTTGAACATGTCCTTGAACTTGTCAAGGTGTTGTTCTCTCCTTATTGGGTAGACAAGGTATTGTTCTCTCCTTATTGGGCAGACAAGAGGTACACTGATCCTAGAAGGTCCACAGCTGGCACAAGCCTACCTGAGTGCTCCCCATTTCAGAAACAGTTTTCCTGCAAATGTGGCTTCTTCCACCCAGTTGGGACCAAATAAAATTGAAACACCACTTTTGCTAGGACTTTGCTAAAATACGCCTTGCTTATGGCCAAGGGAATTTTGAGAGACTACCCCAGCCTCGTGAAGCCCTTTCTGGTTCACTTGGAGCCTGTATTCTGTACCACCTACTGCTCATCCCCAAGGTCTCTGCTACAGATCTCCAGGTTACAATCTTAAAGTGACCTGAATTCTGGTGTCCGGGACCACACATTACTGGTTTGAAGTTGGTTGGGTTCAAGCCATCCCTGAATGCTTGGCCCCTATCACTGCCTGAACTTCCCTACCCAATGCCACTTGGCTCAGGACCCCTGCTCCCAAATGTGGGCTAGTGGGGCATGTCAGGAACAGTCCTTCCCCTGGGCTTGGTCTCCAGACAGGAGCGCCCTGGATCGAGTGCCTACCTTCAGATGGCTCCTGTCCTCTGACTTCACAGGTGCCTGCAGAGGATGGAGCTGGAGTGTGAGGAGGCAGCCCTGAGCCTCCCTACCTGTGCCCTTCCAGGGGCTCTGGGTCCCCCCAACCCAAAAGTACCCACCCGCCCTGCCACAGGCGGAAAGAGCTGAAAAGCCATACCTCCCCCGTTCTGGAAGGCCAGGTAGGGAAACCTCCAGACATTGCCCAGCCCCACTGCATACCCCACCATGGACAGGATGAAGTCCAGTTTGCTGGACCAGTTCCCTCGGGCCTTATTCTCATCCCCTTGCTCGTCCTCCTGGGGGCGGAAAAGCACATTGTCGGATAACAGCCCAGGTAGGTCCACAAGCAGGCCCCATTCTTCCCCTCCCCCCTGCTGAGGGTCTTTCCCAGCAAGCAGGCCCCCACTTTTCAACTGAGGATGCAATGGCAAGCAGGACCCCAATTCTGAAGAGAGGATGCATCTACAAGCAGGGCCCTCACCCCGATCCCCTGCACTGAGAATCTTTCAGCAAGCAGCTCCCAGTTTTGATCTGAGCATCCATCCTAAACAGACTCCGGCCCCCTATCACCCCAAATCCTGCAGTCAGGGCACACCAGCAAGCAGCTTTCCCCAAACCTTGAACATGTAGATTGATGGCAAGCAGGTCCCTCCATCCCCAACAAAGAGTTCATTTGGCAAGCAGGCTGGTAACATGCCTAGAGTCCCCAGCAAGCAGGTGCCTAACTAACCCCACCACCAGATAAAAAAGTCCTCCACACACCCCTGCCCCTTGCTTTGGAGTCTGTACTAAAACCAGAAGAGAGCTGCAATGCCTTACTTTCTCTGCCAAAGCTTACAGGCAGAACCTGCCGAGATGGCTAATTTCAGCTCAGGGTCAAGGGCTATCTATGGGCAAGAAGCATTTAGATCATGGGGTTGGAGCCAGAGGGAAAACTGAGACAATAGGTTTGATGAGAGATAGAGCAACTAAGACACTGAGTTCTGTCTACGAGACCAGTCGCTCTTCACTACTACCATTTGGAAAACTGCAGGAAGACACTGTCTCTCGGAGTCTGTCCCCATTTGTAAAGAGGGGCTTCTAGTTCCAGCAGTCTGTTTGTCTTGGGGGCATCCCTGATTCTGAAATGCAGAAAAAGCTGGGAGCAAAGCTACCTAAAAATAAACCCTGAAAATGTTCGTGGTACCTGGACACAGGACAAGCTTCTAGGATCCAAGCCACTGCACAGCTTCCACAGCCTCAGTCACCCTCCACCTCCTACTCTAGCAACCTGGTGTGTCCCATACTGTCTAGAGGCATGGAGGATAAAAAAGCAGTTATCAGGAGGGGGACGAAGTCTAGAGAAAAGAGGAGGGCTGGAGTGGGTGTCTGAACGGCAAACTGAAAATAGGCAAATACAGGGCTTGATCTATGCAGAACATCTTGAACATTCCCTTTCTCCCTCCCCTCCCCCTACCTCATACCTCACCCCACCCTCATCCTTCCAGGGCTGGAAAGGGTGAGAGAGTGCTGCCTCCTTTTGCCGCACTGCAGAGATTAAGCTAGGCATGTGGAAGAAATTGTCTGCGTCCACCAAGGGCCACACAGTTGGACATGTGCTCTCAGGGGCAGTTACTAGCTAGAGCCAAATGCTCTAGAAGGGGACCACAGAGCAAAAGAGTAGGAGGGTTGGGGGTCGGGGGGTGTCTGTCCATTTCCAGTTGTTGTAGCAGCTGAATTCCTGCTCGGAGGATGCCTGGGGATAAGTATGAGTGTGTGTGTGTACACAAACACTAAAGTAACTAAGAGCAGAAAGGCTTTTATAAACGCCAAGTTTCTGTTCTGGTTCGGGTACCTAGTGCTGGATAGCATCCTAACCCTGGAGCCCAGGAGGGGACAGGGGCTAACAGAAGGGGCAATGGGAGGAGAACCGCTAAAGTGGGAAAAATAGGACAGAAGGAAGAAAAGGTCGAGGTGGGAGAAAGACTGGAGGGAGCTGGAGGAAGGCAGGAACCTGTGTGGGAGAGGTGGACGAGAGCAGCAGTCGTCCTATCCCTTACCCAGAGTTGGAATTTGCTCTGCGTTTTTCATGTCTCAGGTTGAATATAAAGGGCCAAATGCAGTAGCGAATCCAGATTTGTGGGGCCTGAACTTACACTTGTAAGAAAGAAGAAAAAACACTTCTTGAAAAGCAAAAATCTGGCAACAGAATTGGATAGTGCAGAGGCAAAAAGTAAGTCCTGAAACTTAAGCTTCAGAAGTAACCGAACCTAAGCCTGTCTCTCATCAATTGAGTTCTCATTGGCAACTTGCACTGCAAAGATTAAAGGATTTAAACGATCATCTGCACCAGGCTTTTCTCTGTATTCTTATTTTCTATTTATGAAAACAAATTTAAGTAAGTCCCAGTCATTGGCAAACGGAGATCTGCATATGGGGTAGAATCTATCTGGCTCAACTATTTAACAAAACTGCACTCAGATTTCCATCATTACTGAGGGAAGGGGCAGGGAGAGCAAGCCCTGAGGTCACCATCCCTCTGGCAGGGTCACTGCAGCCCTCAAGCCCTGAAATGGCCACCCCAGCAAAGTGCGAGCTTCCAGAAGCCCCAAAGCTACCTCCCACACCCATTACTTGGCACTGCCAACCAGTCTCCCCATCAGCACACGTGCACCCACCACCGCCCAACTCGCTTTGAACTTCTGGGGGGTTGGAGGCACTGGGGTGGAAGTGACCTGCTTACCTGGGTGGTAGTAGTAGCCACACTGCCTGGGAGCACTGAAGTGATTCCATCTGTGCCCAGCACCACGGTGCTCTGGCTCATATTCACCCAGCCCACGGCTCGGGTATTGTTCCTCTCCAGGGTGCCCTTGCCCACGCTCACGTTAGCATCCCCCTCTGGGCCCCGTAGAGCCGGAATCTTACAATGCAGTGCATTGCCAGGCCCGGAGCTTGCAGAAGGAGGGGCGCCCTGAGCATCGTGCGTCTCGCTCCAGTCCCGCAGAGCCGCGGAAGCCCCTGGAGCCCGCTGGCTACTGAATTTGCAAGCCCCCACTCCTGGCCGCTCAGCCTCGCAAGCTCGTGCTTCTGGGGACTGGAAAGTTTGGGCACCAGTGGAAACCGATCGGGGCACTCGCGGCGTCGGCGGCACGGCAGGGGGGGCAGCGGAAGCGGCAGCGGCTGCAGCGGCGGCGGCGGGAGGCTCCTGCTCCGGGCTTGTCCTGGGAGCACATGGGCCATCGTGGGGGCCAGGGGCCACCGTCGCCTCCAGGTTGTTGGCCTGTTGCTTATTCATTTCCTTGGGAGCACCGAAATCCTGCAAACACAATGTGAAGTTCCCAAAAAAAAAAAAAAAAAAGGAAAAGTCACGACAGCTTTAGGAATAACTATGTCTACATGAAGACATGCTCACGACTCAGGTCTGGACACAATATCTAAGGGGCAAATTGGAATCTGCATTGCTTTCCTTCTCCAAGAACTGTGGTCAGTCTTTCTCAATTTGTCTGTCTGGTCAATAACCAGAATTCCTAAAGAAGCTAGTATTCCCCTCCCTGATGGCCTGTGACCTAAGAATATGAGAAGAAATGATTTTTGGATGTGGAGAGCGTAGAAATAGCACTACAGTCATGAGCTCCCCGCCCTCTTTGGATTTCACATCACGGCTGTAGGGTACCCACGTCCCCATCACCATTGTAGAAAGATTCTTTAATTTTCCGCCCCATTTCCTTTGTCATTCAACAATGCACATTCCTTTTTTTCCCTTATAAGCAATAGACAAGCTGAGGCCACAAAGCTGATGGCATGGCACCTGCTACATTTGAGACCAAATCTGTTGTGCATATCTGAGTATTCCAAAACCCACCCAGCCTGCCAGGTAGCAATGCAGACACAGAGATCACAACCAAAGTAAAAGCAAAACCCACCGCACCAATAAGCCAGACTTGAAAACACAATATGGTAACCATTTTTCTATCTTACAAAACCCACATAAACTTCTAAGTCCTCAGATATGTAATAGAATGCACAAAGTTTTTGGTACCCTCATCCCCCGCCCTCACACACACCCTGCAGAGGATATTTCACAGGAGTCTAATATCCTTCAAAGCCCTACTCTTGCTCACCACAGATTTTCGCTTAGTTTCTCCTAAAGAGGTTCCAATGAAAAAAACCTGTCAGCGGCTTTTTTTCTCCCCTCTGTGATTTCCTCCCTTCCGTTATCTTTCAGGACTAGCTAAGTAATTTCTACTATCCTATAAAAATAATCACCTCAACAGCATGCCTCTTATCTAGCCTCCTTTTCAAATGCACAGACCAGAAATTCTTGTTTTGTACCAAATCTAAATACTCTGGATCCAGCCAGCATTCCTGTCTGAACGGCCTCCAGGACCCAGAGACTGGTTTCAGCACCGTGGACAGTGTTCAGATGAGCATGGCTGGGCTCTTCCAACAGCTCCAGAAACCTCTTTCCGATCTCAGGTGATGCTCATAAATAGAAATACCTACAGTTTCGAGAACTGTACTCCCCGTGCCCTCCAAAACACACTGCACATTTCAAAAAGAAATATACAAACAAAACTGTTCTTTCCACCACCCCGCATCCACTTCTCTAAAAGAACAAAAGCAAACACTCACCATCTCTGACACGGCAACAGATTGAACCCGTAGAGAGTGGAATCCGCAATTGACAAGACTAGGTTTGGCTCTGGCTAGAGAGGCGCTTTCTATATCTCCTTAGGAAAGGCCGGTTTGCGTCAGTGCAAAGCAAGGTGCCCTTCGTTTGACATTTTCTTGATAATACAAGTTTGATAAATCATTACCCCCTTGGATTCAAGTTTTAAAGGGACAACAACCGAGAGTACGCTGGCCAGGTTGTCACTGGGGTGAGAGGGGGCTGCGTGTTCAGCGTGACTCATGTGGGTCTGATTACTAAACCAAAGCCGGCTGAGGGGATGACAGAAGTTTTCCTCCTCCTAATTAAGGGAAACATGGGAGGGACACGTTCCACTGCACCCAAGGCGAGACACAGCCATCAACCAAGAGGTTTGGGTCACCAAGGTAGGTGAGGGGGAAGAAGTTAAATCACTGTGATGTTTCAGCCTTTCTCTTCCACTCAATTCCGTTGCTGCCTTTCCAAATCCAGGCAGTGGATTCTGCAATATTACCCCAAAAGCAACTGAGGGTCTGTGCATAGCACCATAGCTCTGTGATATCTGGTGTACTTGGGTCTTGAATTTTCTAAGGGAATTTCCACAAGCTTGCATGCGGATTTCAGATATGCCCTACTCTGTCAATATAAGAACCATACTGGATTTTTGCTTTAAAATTGAGGTCTAGTATTCGCATTCCTATACTATTTTTATTAACACAATTAATAGAAATTCTTGAGTAAAATTATGACTGTTCCCACTTTGATTACACTCCTCTGAAAATATGTTAGAAAAATAAAAAGGAAATTATTTTATACACTGACCTGATTCTTTCAAAAATCAAAGGAAACTCATTCTTGCTTCATAATCCTCTCACTAAAAATCCACTGCAACCAGGTCTGATTTGCAAACACAAGTTCTTAGAGACCCTCCAAATTATACTCAGCAGCAACCAAGAGGCAGGGCTGGCCAGCCCCGAAGCCAGAGGAAGACATTTTACCATCCTGCGGCAGGGTTGGGTTAAGGGAAGGAGATAATGGTTAAGCAAATGAAACAGATCAACTTTCATCTTGGTACAAAGCAATGGTTGTAGTCATAAGAAAGGGAGTCTTTACAAAGGAGATGTAATTTGGAGACTAAAAGAGGATTCTTAGAAAAACGCTTTACATTTCTCCTTCCTGGCCAGCCGAAATAGGGGAACTCCTGGCATTTAGGCTGGGGGAATATGGAAAGCACTTTATCACGTTCCTACTGCCCGAAGCAGCCCGGGCCCAGGGCCTCAGGATCGGCGCCTTCTTGCACTGCTGGGCAGTCCCCAAACACAGGAGGATAATGCCTCAGGGCTGCAGACCGAGCGGCTCTGGCAGATTGCAGTGGGCGCCCTGGGCACTGCGGGGCCTCTCCCGCCTCCTTCCAAGCTGCCAGAACAAGCTTGGATACCTTGGCTCAGAGGTTATTCCGCTTGGCTCCAGTGAGCGAACCAAGGGTCTACACTTTCATGGAAGGAGACATCCTTTCCAGCAATCTCATTGTATTTAAAATTCAGTAAGTTCTCTATATTGAACCGTGTGCAAGAACTTCGCATGAATTGCTCTATTTAGTTTTGATAACAATCTTTGAAAATCTCCCAATTATAAAATCGGGGAAGCTAAGTCTCAGAAAGTCATTTTCGAACTCGAGAGAATCTCCCGCCCCTTCGCTGTTGGGGGGGTGGTGCGGGGGTGCCAGACGCTCTCTTACAGGAGGCACCCGAGAGAACTGCGCAAGGTCCCCGAAAGGGATGGTAGGGAGACAGGGGTGGGACTGCAAAGGGCTCAGGTTCAGGCTGGCAGGCGAACTCCACTGGGACACATTCTTGTGGATGTGTGTGAAGGGGCTCGTCTTCCTAAACAGTTTCCAAAAAATCGAAGGAGAAAGCAAGGGCATGCCTGGCAGACCCCGACTTCTGCACCCCAAAGCGTGCTCCTAGGTCCGAGTAGGCCCTCCTCTGGGGCCCCTGGGCTGACATCCAACAGCAGAAAGTCACGACTTGCAAAGACTCTAACCAATTTCTATAATTTGCATTTGATCCATTCCCGAAAAGGGCTGCAAGCGAGTGGAACTTCCATCCCACTCACCCACGTTCTAGGGCGCTCTGACGTCTCAGGCGGGGCGGGAGCCTAGAGGAATGTGCGACTGGAATATACCAGGCCTTTTCGCAGTAAAGCCCGGGGCCAAAGTGACGCCCTGTTCCCCAGCTTACTCCCTAGGCCTGACGTGTAGCCTGCGGGCCCTCCCCGGCCAAATGCGCGCTGGGGTTTCCACGTGGGGCCATGGCACGTCAGGTCCTACCTAGGCGGTGACTCGCCTGGACAGCTGTGGGGGTGGGGCTAAGGACTGGCAGAAGCTCGGTTTTCGGTTTTCGTTTCCCACTCTCCCCCTACCCCTCTTCTCTACCCTCCCTCCCTTCCAGCCCCCGAGGTTCAAGAAAGGAGGGGCCTTGTGGAGGTGGGAGAGGGAGTGTGAAGCAGGAGGTGTAGAAGGGTCGCAGAGAAGTCTGCGGCTGTGGAGAGGGGAGAAGGGAGTTGAAGGAGGGAGGGAGGGGTGGAGATCAGCCTGTCAGGATAGTTACGGTTCGTGGAGGGAGGGAGCAGGTGGAGCAGGAGGCCAGGGCAGCCGGATGCGTGTAGGTGCTGGAGAAATGCTGAGGGCGGATTCGCAGTAAGGAAGAAAAGAGACAAACCCTCGGAGGATGCCTTTTCCAGTGATAATCCGACCTGAACGAGACTCAGGGGAGGGGCTGTAATTCCACATCCATCACCCCGCAGCAGCCGAGTGGTCAGAATTAGCCAGTCGTTACGGACTTAATTACTTTGTCAAAGATGAAAAATAGTAATTGATTTTGCCCTCTATCACTTTGCACCCCACCCCCCCCTTGCAGATAAGCAAATAAATAAATTCTTTTGAAATAGTTTAGACGGCCCGACAATGTGTGTGTTGGTGGGTGGGGGGCAGTTAGGAGGGTTGTCTGCAGAAACAGGCCATCGTGGCAACCTTGGTGCCACTCTTTGTGCCAAGACAGACATGGGGAGCAAGCTGGAACTCAGGCAGGAAAGGACCTGGAAGAGTAGGGGAGGGTACTTGTACCTGCAAGTTGACTCCTCCTCACTGGGGAAGAGAGGAAAGTCACCTTCTGAGCTAGGAGCACCCGCTCTGGTGTTAACCTGAGGCTTACCTAAAAGCTAGCTCCACTGTGTTCAGGCCAGGGGCTGAGTGACTGACTGACAGAAATGTAAAGAAACTAGCTTAAAGTCAGCAGGTAGAGTCAGGTTGTGTTGCTTGTGATCCACCCCACTGTGTGGGATATAATATAAACACCTTTACTGTTGCTCATGTGATTTTGATCTGAGAGCCATAAACACCTAAAAATTCTGCAGATAATAGACACGGTGTTCAATGGGTCAATGGTAACATTGCCAGTGGAGTCAAGAAGCCATGCAGTATTTTTGTCTCACTTGCCTACTCCTGCCCAGTTCCACTGCAGCATTGTTCTGTGCTAAGAATGTGTGCTCTGCAGACAGATTTCACCACCGCCTAGCTCTGTGACCTTGGGGATATTCTGGATCTTTTGAGAGAATAATAAGAATATTAAGCTACCTCAAGAATTTCT